TATACAGCTAACTCATTTTCTGCTGTGAAAAAAGCTACAGTTCAGTACAGGAAAATGTGTTTTTTGGGGGTTGTTTTTTTTGTTGTGTTTTTAAGTAAATACTGGGCTAATTCTGTGGCTTTAGTACATACATAGTTGCTGTTGAGGTTTGGTGCACTCAATAATTGGACCTACACAATCTGTTTTAAATCCAACAATAAGATTTTCACATTTAGACATTTTGTCACAGTGCAGTGAACTAAGTACAAGAATTCACACTTGCATATGAGAATTACAAATTAACAAACAAAACAAATGAAAATGTTCCAATTAGTTTTAACTCAGAAGGCTCTGAGTGCTATTTATAAAATACTAACACAAATATTTTTAATAACTTAGTGTCTTAACAAAGCCATTTAATTGCAAAATGTACCACTTACTGGTAGTAAATGTATGTATAAACTCATTTTTTAAAAGATTGCCAACATGTGGTGCACCTCAAATAAATTATTTAGCTCTATCCTGGAAAGGAAAAATTCACTCCTGGCTGAAGCGGTGCTAGATATACCATGGTTTGAGTTGCCTGCCTTTCAAATATGCAGCCTGTTTGTCTGCCATCATGCAATTTGCTCCCAGAAATGCCTTGGGCTTTACTTTTCCATTCATGTTCCCAGAGCTGTACGTTAATCTCAGCACTGTTTGTCATGGAAAGACAGACCTACTTCAGAAATTAATAATAGTGTCATTGCACTGATTCTCAGACAGTTGTCCCTTTATTTCAAATAATAAACGAGCTTTTACTTTGGAGCCAAATGTATATAGCCAGAATTGTTTTCTGTAACTGGAGTTGAGCAGAAATGGTAGGATATTGAGACTGTACATAAGTGAAATGTTTTTCTTTGCTAGAAATCTGGTTTTGAATTTAACAGTATATTGCCTGCATTACATGAATATAAACTAGAGGGGCACTGTCAATGTCATGGTGATAGAATTCTACCTCCCTTTATTTGCCATTATCCCATTTTTGTTTAATTATGTGCCTTATTAAAAATGTCAAGGTTTCCAAGATGCTACCTAATGGGTCAACAGCTTTTTCATACGATCTCCACAAGATGACTCCATTCACATTTTTCAGATCAACCAATCCAGCAGAATGAGAGAGACTCGGAGCAGGAAGCCTAGATGCTGTTGGGCAAGTCTAGAATGAGGGACACGTTCCAGGATCATAGCCATTGCAACCTGTCATCCTCCTTCCGTGGGCAGGGGATCCCAGAAAAGCTGAGGCAGAGATTCCCTAGAAGCTTAGTGGCAGTCTGGAAGCCAGAAGCCAAACATAGAACATCACAGGTGGCCCTAGGGCCTACAAGGCTCCTATAAAACCCAACAGGGGAGTCAAGATACTATCAGAAAAACCTGTTACCCACAGTGGAGCCAGCATGGGGCATGCAAACTTGGAGCCCCACATGAAATGCTGCAATTACTATACACTAGAACATCTGTGTTCTGCTAGCTGCAGCCTGTGAAGGTGGATGTCTACGGAGAATCTATGAGGAGATTAGTGTAATAAAATCAAGTCACAAGTGTATCTGTAACCGCACTGTGACAGAAAGTAGCATCAAAGATTCTTATGTTTTTTTCTTGGTGATTCCTACATCAAATGTACTCATTCTGCCATTTTTTCCCTTGGAGCACAGGCAAGCTTACACTGTCCATTGAAATGAGACTGGGTTCGTTTATCAATAGTAATAAAGATACCGAAGGATAAATTATGCCCCCTTGACAACTTAGCAATCAAACTGCCATAACTGATGGCAGGTAGCTATATTATTGATGGTGCATAGGAAAGGACAAGATCTACTTTTCTCTTTTGCTCGCTGTCTATCTTAATGACTGGCAAGAATAGAGGGCAAGAAAAGATTTATTTTCAGCCCTCAAGTCAACCAGTGTGCTTCTGAATAAACACAGCGGATCTTTCTAATGGGAAAGCACCCTATTTATGTGGTCACTTTTCAGAGTAAAACTGCACTTTAGGTTTATTCTTCTAAACAAAGATGCTGGTGTGTGTTGGTACACTTTGTGTAATTCTATAGAAACTGCAAATTCAATAGGATGTTTCATAAAGCTTTGGTCTCCAAACAGTTATATTTCACTGGGTTTTAATGTAGTTATGTGTGATGGGTCTTTCAATAAAATAAATTGCATGTAATATGCTAATTTTAGTCATCCTGTTATTAACCAAGTCTGATGACTGCGTGATTTTTCAGTAGGTAGAGTGACGTCAGTACAGTTTTGTCTACACAAAACAGAACATTGCTCGAAAATTACACTGACTGCTGAGTATGGATCTTTTGTTTTACTAGTGGGATCCAGAAACCTGCCTGTTAAAACACTAGGAGTAACCGCACACTGACTATCCACTGTTCCAATCAGTCATCAGCATCACAGTCAGTGATGCCTATTCAAAAATGTGAGATAGGTGTAACTTTCAAGAGTGGACCAGATCTAAAAGAGAATCTATGTACTTCAAAATGCAAGGTTTGTGAATAATGCAGTTCACTGAACTTTCTAAAAGGGCTACAATGCATTCATAGATGTTCTAAAAACAAAAATGAGACTTTTTACATCGCTGCATTTGGTTCTGCTTTATTAAGAGAACACAGGGCCCTTCCACCATACATATAATTGACACTCAAAATATTTTATAAATACTGCAACAGCAGCAGGAACCACTTTATCTCCTGTAATGAGGCCACACTGTGTTAGAGGTTCAGTGCTGCACAATTAAGATGGAAATGGAAAAAAATTATTTCCACAGAACATTGGGAATTTGTAAGGGAGAAAGAAATGAACTATCATAGGATGTGGCCAGAGCACTTTGCAGTTCTTAGAAAAAGTTCCACAGGCAATTCTCTGGCTGACCCTTGAAATAGCAACCCTAGTACCCTTTAAAAGTCTTGGTTTGAGATTAAGCACTGATTTACAGAAAGAAACACCACACCCCAGACAATCTGCATGATGTTAATTTTCAATTAAAATGTTATATCCAGACTTTTACACAGGACTTACCCAACTACTGACTTCTCTTTACTTGGAAGAGTCAGTAGTATTGCAACAGTGCTTTACTACCATAACCTCGTAATAACAAATTATGGGTGAAATGTTACTATCTGAGTCCAGGGGAAACATTAATTTGCATTTCTCTGTGCCATTCCTAGTCTAGTATAGGTTAGAGAACAATATCCATCTGCAAACAGGAAGCAAGCTTTGACGTCCTATTTCCTACTCGCATGATTCTGTGAGTCATGTAGGTCAAACTGTCAGCTCCAAAAATGTAGCTAAAGTTCAGGGAAACTTCATTTTCTCTGCAAAATACTTTTATTCAGCCTAACCTGAGGCAGTAAATAGATAAACGTAGCAGCTATAGGCGAGTTCCTCATTCAAGATTCAGAATACCAAATTCCCTTTTTACTATAGTAGCAACAAAGTTAAGATTTCCCTGGCCCATCAGTTTTGGGTTTTTCTTTTAATGTAGCCTTCATCGTGGCACTCATTACTGTACCATCTGACCACTTAAAATGTGCGATTAAGCTAACACTCAAAATATATGTGTGACTTCAGGAATGATTGTTTTCCCCATTTTACTGATGAGGAAACTGAGGTAAGAAGTTATCTAGCTGCCCTGTACTTAGAAATTCCAGAGTGCCTAGTTGTTCAGCATTATTAAATTCATATTTCTCACTTGGTAAATTGTAAGAATAAGGCATACAGTTTGCAAAAGGTAACCACAGATGGAGGAACTGCAAGAAATTGGAGAATTATGTATCTTCCAAAGGAAATAAAATCTCACTTCCAAATTCCTCACATATCCTTTCTCTTCAAAGTCAAGCATTCTCCATTCACTTTTCAAAACATTTTTGGGTCATCACTTAAGAGATTTCTTTCACTTCTTTGCTGAAGATAAAGTCCAACACCAAAGTTTACCTGCTGCACCCTGTGTTCTACTCCGTATACACTCTGCCAGAATGTGTAGCATCTAATAAAGCATCAGTGGGAATAACTTCTATGTCATCTCTCCTTTACTGTATGTGTCAAGAATAAAAAGCAAAGGGAGGAGCTACATCTTCTACATACACTAGAGTACTTTTTAATTTGTTATCGGCTATTTTTAGGAGTTGAAAGTGGATTGCAAGAACAAGTATTCGTCCTCTTTCACATCTAGGAAAACTTATAAATACAGAGCTGCAGAACTGGGAACAGAGCTCAGACCTCTGGATCTGCTGTCTCATGCCTAACTGCTACACAAATTTTCTGGCAGGTAAGGCACCTAAGAAAATAAAGAATTTTGTATATGTATGTTCATTTAACTGGGATATAACTAACAGCATTAAAGAAATCAGAACACAAGGAGGTAAACTGTGGCACAGCAGAGCCGTGTTGAAAGTCACATCAGAGAATAACACACACAAACAAGATTTGCCTTTCACTTTTCTGTTATAACCACTAGACAACCATGCTGCCTACTATTCACTCCAGACAAACTAACAAGATACAACATTTATCTCTATTACTGTGCCATAGGTACTGCTTTAAAATGTGCTGATACAACACTCTCCACAGTTTAACAGTCAATCCCCATCTGTTCAAATATAGCGTGTATTTACGGTGCGTAGATCACCTTTTCAACAAAAATGTAGATTTCACATCATAAAGCCACAGATCTAATATACATGCAGGGAATTTAATAAGGACAAAATGTGTCTATGATTCCCTTTAAAGGATACAAGATAGAGACAAATCATTTAAACCACTTTTTGGTTTGCATTGTGACTCTTGGGCTATTAACATTTGCTCCACACAAAGATTTCGGAAACTGTGAACTTTTCCCTCCAATGCAGCTGAAGCTGATCTACTAACACCCTCTCACCTATTGGCTCAGCAATAGTACCCTTCCCCTCCATCAGAAAGGCTCGCAGACATAATTCCACCCACAGTCTTCCTTATATAAAGACTAGCTGGAAAATTACTTCTTCATTTTTACTTTTTGGTCAGAGGTTGACTATATCTTTGACAGTCTGGCAATGCCTGTGGATTTCAGTGGAACCTGGAACCTTATCAGCAATGACAACTTTGAAGGTTACATGGTGGCCTTAGGTAGGTGAAAATACCATATTCTATCCTTCCCCTGTAAGGGTTCTCCTGCATTTTAGAAGTCTGAGTTGTTCTAAGACCTAGATATTGCTGATGCTTTTTTTTTTTTTCTGAAAAACAATGGAAAAATCTTTGTTTATGGATAAACAGACAGCATTAACTATATTTCAGCCTGTCACCCAAGTGTCCTTGCAGCTTTCAGGAATTTCTCAGCCTAGTACTTGTTAAAAGTAGAATTTCTGCATAGCTTTCATCAGACACAGGGAAGAGTTTGCCCCGTCCAGTCAATTCCACTTGCTTTTGAGCGCAAACCTACATAAGCTGTCTAGGATTAATTAAATGTTAAGTAATAAAAAAAAAAAAAGTTTAAGTATTTGACACTTCCAGGCAGTTGTTTAGCTTGGTTTCACTTATCTTTCAACAGCTTACAAAATACTCCTCTCATTACTGTGACTTGTTGATAAGTTTCTCTAACTGTCCCTCTTCTGGAGTGCTTGAAGCTAACCTCTTACCTTGCTCAGATCTTTTAGAGAAAGATTAACGGTGCTTTAACAGGGAACTAAGAAAGTTCTTGTTCCTGATACTTTATCAGCTTTCTTGTTTAAAGCTCATTACAGACTGTGACAGCAGGCAACCTTGTGTGCTGCCTTCCCTTCTCCCTGCCTCTCCCACCCCTTTCTCCCTTTCTGACTTCTTGTAAACTGATGACCAGCAGTGCCTCTTGTTGGCTATTGTATACACCACGAGAATGAAATATATTTTCTGACTGTATCTATGCTGGGTGACCTACATAGATTGTCTAGTTAGTATCTTTTAACATGGTGAAAGAACTCTTCTCTGTTTCTCATCTGTATTATAAATTAGGAAAAAAGGAAAGGGTGCTCCCATAATAAGAATTTATTCATCAGTTTGAATACTAAGTCATACGCTCTTAATGTGTTAATGTCTTCAAAAAGAATAGAGATTCTGTCTGTTCCTTGATAATAAACATTGTCCAGCTAAGTAAAGGGCTTTTTTAATGAAACATAACTACTAATCTTGTGAAAAATGCAATTTGTTTTCAGCATGCAGTTGAGGGAACTTACTTAAAAGTAAAGGCAAAGGATCATGTTAATGATTTGCAACCTATCTTTAATTACTTCTGCTTGGTTGTCAGCATAATGAACAAAACATGGACTGAAATAAATATGGTACAGCTAGAATGAAAAACTTTTCTGCCAGGGTAAGTAGAGTGAGGAGGCTAATATCTGATCAGCTGCATAACTAAAGGGTTATAGAAAAGAATGTGGCAATTCCAAGCCCAGTCTTTCCTTCAGTTTAATATCTAACTCTAAAGACTAGATTTGTATGTAGTTTGTATTTATACATTCTTATAACCATGTTAAGGCTTCATGTGCATGGCTGTTGCCAGTACTGAATTCAAACCCTTCTGTGCTAAAATAAATTGGTAACCATGTGAAAACATGACTGACAGATTCTGGCACTTCTGTAATGCATACAGTGATGAAGTCGCACTTCAAACACAGACTGCATAATGAGCCATATGGTTCAACACATGGTAGCTGAACACACCCTGTCAAGAAGATCACAACCTCAGCCTGCATAAAGGGAGAAACTTCTAGTGGTCATATAAAATGACACTTTTAATCTAGGGGATGAAAACAGCTAAATTAATTGATACACAGCCCCCCATTTTACCCACCCCCTTCCTGAAAACCCAACTCTGAGCATGCTATTGGGATGCAGTGTAATTCAGTTGCCTACCAAATAGATGGCCTGTTCCTCTAAAGAAACAAACATTCACTAGAGAAATAGAAAAATAAAACAAACCTCTAGAAGCACTGCTTTAAGGTCAGTATTACCAAGAACATCAGGATTCTGTTAGAGGTGACTGATCATTACGGATAACCAGGTAATCTTTTGACAAGTGTATGTTTTCTAGTTGCACTTAAAAAGTGTTTATAGCAAGTACATGTCCTGAACACAAGCCCGAGTAATGAATGCTAGGACTGTTCTTCATTTTACCCTATTTAAGGTATAGGATGCAAAGAATTCTTGTTAATTCACATAAAGCCTTTCCTCTGACAAAGGATGAGAATAGGCATTAACTATTCCTGCTAGGTGAGCAGGGGTAAATCTGAGACCAAGCTTGGGGTGTCTGTGGGAAACCAACTCTCCCCAACTCCTAAAAGGACTCTCCTGACTTTAAGTCCTAGAAATCTTGCATAGGAATTGTGCAACAACTGAGTAAACAGGTTTCCAGAGAGTTAAATGTACAAGAACATGACTTGATCTGTGTAACATAGAGTTTTAAACAAAAAAAAAAAAACAACCAAAACCAACAAAGCCTTGCATAGCAGTAAGGTCAAACTATCTAAGAAATGCTTCTACTAGTAATAAGGTTAAGTTCTGGGTGTCAAAACGATTGGTGATAAATATAACTGACCTTTTTGCCTCCTGTCTAAGGTATTGACTTTGCAACACGCAAGATAGCAAAAATGCTGAAGCCTCAGAAAGTGATCAAACAAGATGGTGATTCATTTTATATCCATACCACTAGCACATTCAGAGATTATTTGCTTCAATTCAAAATTGGAGAAGAGTTTGAAGAAGATAATAAAGGCCTGGATAACAGAAAATGCAAGGTGAGACTGAATCAAGAGGCTGTGACAAAATTAAGATGCCATTATCAATCCAGCTGCTTGAGCTGAAATAATTTCAAGAATGCTATTTGTAATGCAATGCAGAGGTAGGAACCTGAGTTACAGACAAGGAGTTTCACTTTCCCTCAGGAGTAGTATTTAGGTTCCCTTTTATCTAGGAAAAAAGGACATTGTCTACGAGTGTATTTGTGAAACCGAGACAAAGACATACAGAAACACTTGTTTCCTCTTCCACAGAGCCTAGTTACCTGGGAAAATGATAAACTTGTCTGTGTCCAGACTGGTGAGAACAACAACAGGGGCTGGACTCATTGGCTTGAAGGAGATGACCTCCACCTGGTATTTACTTCAGATTTCCACTAATTCTGTCTCTATATGACAAAAATAAGATCTATAATGTGGTCACCGTGTGCACAAGTCTTCCAGCTCTGTAGTATTTGTAATGGATGGTAGATAGTGAGCACGTGCTGCTTTGATTTTAGTTTAGCTGGAACAACTTCATTGTTTCACTGTCTTGTATAGTTACATTCAGAATGTCAAGCTTAACCTATTGCGTGGCAGCACAGTGGTGGTCAGTAGTTGTGGCAAAGGATCTATGTCCACTTTCAGAAGCAGTTCCTTTGTTCACTATATATCTGTACTCTTGGTTTTTTTGGCAGGAGCTTCGTTGTGAGAATCAAGTATGTAAACAGGTCTTCAAGAGAGCTTGAGTATGTGTCCCGATTCCTACACAGAGACAGCTACCTACAGGAGACTGCATCCTCATGTCCAGTGATGGCTGTACAGACGAGAACTGATTTGTTGTATCAATTAACTTAAATGGTCTGATGTTTCTGGCTCAGGAAATAAGTCTGCTGTTGCCAGTATTAAAGATCTGATTTTTGCTAATAAATGCGCCAAACCAATCTGAACTATCTGACTTCTGAATGTGTTTTTGGAAGGTGAAAAAACCCCACAACCCAACATGTAAGTGATGTGGCTTGGGTCTCTGGTTAACTAACAGTCTAAATCAAAACAACTGCCTATTCTAAAGGGGCATGCCAACATCAAACAAAACAGAGGTGGAACATGGTAGAGACAAAGAAAGCAGACAAAGGATACAGACTTATTATTCAAAATGCTTCTCTAAGTTGCAGACTAGTAGTTAACGCCACTTGATCATATCTTAAATATGTAATGTAAGACCCTATATTGTGCCACAGCTGCTTTGTTCTCAAAATAATTAAGTTTGGCTTACCGGAGGAAACTAGCCTGTGATCCAATTGCAGAACAATGAAGACAGGTCTGAGTAATCCATGTAGATTCCAGTCTGCAAAATAATTGAACTCTATAAGCACATATACAGAGTGAAAACAATGCTTCTTTAGTTCAGATTTATTTGCATGCATCTGTTCAATTAAGTTAAATGTTTTTGACCTTGTGTAATGTTGCATAGAGAAGTAGGTTTTATTCTGCCTTGTATAAACAAAGTGATCAGATCAACTTGGTAGCTACACATAACATGAGTTGGTAACATTTACATTGCAGGGATCTTACCACCAGTGGAAAAAGAAAAGAGTTTGATTAAATTTAGCTAAGTTTATAACTTAATTACTTTCTATGCAAATAAAATTCTAAAGTAATCCCTGATGTTTTAAAATGTAAGTAACACTACCTTTCTGCTACTTCTTGTCAGTTCAGAATTCTTAAAGCTACCACCAGAGGCAGACAAAATCTGTTGAAGCTTGGAGGGCCTTTTGTTTGATTGAACCCCCCATATAATTACTGGACGACTATGTAAATTTAAGCTAGTTTCCAAAATATCAAGAAAAGAACTAGTATTCCTTATACAGTTAGGGAAATGTGGGGGACCAGCAGTAAAATGCCTGGTGTTTATTTCTGTGGATCTTGACAGTGTCTTCCTTCGGGAACTGAGTAGTTTTCATTTATTTGAAAACAAAATTACAGTTACCATGTTATCCTAATATAAACAACAAATTCATGCAGCAAACATAGCCATGAGCAACACACAGCAACAGCCAGGCAGCCGTCGCTGTTCCACTAGATGGCACCTCTGGAACGCACGGCACCTTGACTGAAATGGGAGAGGTTCCCAGCAGCAGTATTTTAAATGGTAAATATTGCAGATACTCTCAAAGCCCACAGCTTTTAAGCTGTGCACTCCAATAAGATATGCATGAGAAACAACACAGAAAGGCAATGATGACCTTAAGAACTCTCTTAGTACAAAGAGAGATTCCAAATAGAAATCAGAAAAATGCAACCTTGGAAACCTGCATGATGAGAAGAATAATAATTCATTAGAAGTTCTTACTGTTAGATGTATAGAAGAGTTATTATCAGCAGTGACATTACTTTTCTCATTGCTACCTTCCTACTTCAAACTACTGATATGAAAGCAGTTAATGCTATGCAGAACTCGCTTGAGGATACACTGTAACTCTTGAGGATGAGAAGCTATTACAGTGACAAAACTGCTTATCCTAATTTCATTTATATGCTAACCAATTCGCATGCTTTCACAAAATACAAATTAAACATCTTGATATGCAAGGTGAAAAGAGAAAGGAAGCAGTCACATGTTCTGAAAATGGAGAGAAAAGAAAAAAAAAAGACATTAAGATAGCCCATGCCAATAAGATATGCACTTGAACTACAGAACTGAAGGACAAGAACAAAACTCCCAAGAGGTGCACTTGAAAGGTTTTATTCTAAAGTCTTTCAGACCGCTTCAATTCTCTTACACTATTGCTTTGATGGTGAAACTTTTTCATCGACCAACCTCTGAGGTTTTTAGTGCAACTGCTGGCCATGTGTATTAAGATGATTTTAAGGTACACCAGCTGCATGTGAAAGTACTTTATAGACAGGTGAACAGAAATGTATTGCCTTCTGGATTCTACAGTCAAAACAGACAATGGAAAACCAAAACAACTGCCAGGATTCACAGTCTCAAAACACTTTCTCTAATAAAAGTGTAAGGAGTTGTATCACTGAATGTAGTTTGCTATTATTGTTTCTAAAAGTTGGTCTTCGTGACACATTTATACAGACTACTTTTATATGGAGCATGTAACTCTCTTCCCTGACACCATCAGAAGTCTCTTAAGGTTAATATTTTTTACTCAAAAGCTGTTAAGACATAAATTTGTGTGTAGTTCCCTAATAATTTTCTTGCATACTATTCTGTGCAATGACTATATTGTTTAGCATAAGAACAAACCAGCAAGTGAAGGGGGGGGGGGGGAAAAACACAGCAACATGAAACATAATCCCAAGAAGATAAAGAAATACATAATGATGCATCATCTAAAAATCAAAGGTAACAATACGCATATGTTCTACAAAAAGACCGACAATATATGTTGTGATCCAATTATTTGCAAAAGAATTTGTTTTCTATTCTGGGCACCTTGGTTAAGCCATCAAAAACATTGCTTTTCTTCAAACACCTTTAAATCAATAGAGTATGTTAAGGACGATGCATGATGAAACACAAGACTAAATATCCTATCTGCCTCATGCATAAAAAACCTGACTAATTTTATTACTTTATAATTATTTGCAGTGTTTATGGAAATATGTCTTAATTCTACCCCTTGTTCATACAGACCAGTTTGCTTCCATCTTAAGAACATCCTGTTGTCCTCCTTTTATGGGATTCTTTCACTCAACGAGCCAAACCACTCTGCACTTCTCATAGCTGTCTATTAAGATCTTATTATTAGTGACTGTTCATCCACAGGGCAAAAATCTGCTGATGCAACTCCCTTCTTTTGTCCTCTTCTGAAACAGCAACTTCTCAAAATCCTTTTCTATTTCACCTACATGTGTTACAACTGATTGAACAAGCAGAGCTGGAAGAGACCTTCCAACTCCCTTAAAGACAACACAGACTCTGGCTGGTTTGTTCTCCAGCTGGAGTTTCATTTTGAGGGAGAGGGAAAACAAAGAGGAAAAGAAGAGTATCTTTCACAAAAATATCATTTTATGGTATAATGAAACAACTAGGTGCAGAAAAATTTGTGTTTTTACACAAGAAAGGAAAAAAATACCTCAGGCTTAAACCACACTTAGGGCCAAGGCCCAGTACTCACTGGGGGCTTAATGCGTTCGTTTTCCCTTGGTATGTTATAGAGACTGTAGTAATTAGGCAAACAGCCTGTAGAACCTCAGTCAGCGGTCACCGAGAAGTGGGCTAACACCCTGAAAGAGCGCAGCACAGTCGGACCCATTAAAAGGGGAAGACTCCAGCAGCCTAACCCCAGCCTGGACCCGGCGTCCCTACCTGCGGGGCTGCTCCCGCCTCCGGGCGAGCGACGACGCAGCGGGCAGCTCCATCA